GCAATTGCTGCCTCTTGAGTTTAATTCCACTGAGCTAAACAAACCAGGAAGTAACAGGACCAGTATGATCGGCCTGGGAAGGGTGTAACCAGGTAGTATAATCAGGTTGAATTTTTTAAAAAAAAAAAAGGATGTTTCTAGTGAAATCTAAACATTTTGTGTGAAAAAAGAGTACACACTCTTCACACATAAAGCACTTCAGCAAGCTGGGGTGCTATAGGAGTCTGGAGGGTCCCTTTAAGGCCAGAATAGCTGAACTGAAAGCATGTCTGATTTAGAGAATTCTTCCAGTTTGACTATTCTGACCTTAAATTTGAAATTCACTTTGAATTCACCTTGAATCATCACTTTAGTGAATAGAAGTGTAAATAAGTAGTCTGCTTCTCTGAATTATCATTCAAGCAAATGTGGGTATAATAAAAAAAGTTATAATAAACAGCACACGTTCACTACACGTGAATATACAACACAAGATAATAAGTTGGTGAGTTATTTCAAAACAAAACATGCAAGAAATTTTCAAAAACATTACAACATTCTTTATTTCTCAGGTACCAGTTGCCAAATTGAACAAAACCTTTTATCCTTTTTCCTCCATGCTTGTACACATCTCTGCATTGATAGCATGTATTACCTGCTTGGAACAGTATAGACACTTAAACAAGAAAACATAACAGACAAACAAACAAACAAAAAAATAAGATTTTACTTATCTGTAAATATTTTTTAGCATTTGGAGTCAACTTCAGAGCAGAGGTATTATATTAAAATTCCTGTCCTAATGTGTTTTACACCCCACCTCCTACAGACTGTAAGCTCGATTGAGCAGGGTCCTCTTCAACCTATTGTTCCTGTAAGTTTATTTGTAATTGTCCTATTTATAGTTAAATCCCCTTTCATAATATTGTAAAGCGCTACGGAATCTGTTGGCGCTATATAAATGGCAATAATAATAATAATAACAATGGTAGCTTTGACATTATTAGACATTGTGCCATAGACGTTCTTTTATCTATAAATTCCCTAATGGTGGAAATGACAGAGCCATGGTTTTCACAGTAAATGTCATGTGGTATTTACTGTGACAGGTTGAAAGCAATGAAATCAATCTTAATTCTGTGTAGGCAGCTAATTCTGTAGGTTAAATCAGTGGTTATAATGGTTACCAGCATTTTATATAATGTTTACAGAACAAGTCAATGTAGACAAATTATCTGCCTGCTTCCATTGGCATCAATGTGCAATTTATCACATACTGGGCATGTTTTCTTTTTTTTTCATCAGCAGTTTGATTTTTTTTTTTACTTGATATGTTAATGTATAACTCAAATTGACATAAAATGTAACAAAGACACGGAGGTCCAAACCGGGCATTGTATAAACAAAATAAATGTTTGCTATTCTTTTGAGCTGGGATGCAATGCAACATTTCACACTTCACCATCTAGGCATAGGTTTATGGAGCTAAATTTGCCATCTCATGTCTTGAACCCACCTATGAGGCAAACCTGTAAATTATAATAAATGGAACTACCAGGATCATCACAACAGTCGCTATTGCAACCAGACCCTGGAATTCTGCCTGACCAGTGAGGGCCCTAGCCGCCTCAGTGGCCATGGGCCAGACTAGGACCACATAAATACTCTGATTCTTGCCTGGGAGTAGCAGTCTGCACTTGCCAAAGGTACAGACATGGAGAATCATCCCAGGCCCAGGGTAAACCAGGTGGGATAAGGAAATAAGTTGTTTAGTTTATTTTTTTTTGTTCTTTTTGAAACATGTGTGTGCCTGAGTCTGTGTAGACAGTTTGTTTTTGTCTATGTATGCTTGTATGTGCCTGTTTGTGTATGCCTCAATCTGCATGTCTGTCTATTTATGCCTGTGACTATATGTGTACCTGCCTGTGTATATGTCTGCCTGTGTATACCTGTATGTACCTGTCTGTGTGCCCATGTTTGTCTGTGCCTTTGTGGGCATATGTATGAATTTTCCTGCCTGCACATGTGCATACTTGTGTCTTTCTGGGTGTTTGTATATACCTGTGTCTGTTTTGTAATTATAATTCTGTATTAATATCATTAATATTACACAACTCACCCACATAACCACACTCCATCAACTCCACACCTACTTATCACACTAGGCCAATTACCACAATCACTCAGCAAAGTCCCACACAGAATCATACTCCACAAGCTCCCACATAATCACACACAGCCACCACACACATCCCACTGTCCCACACAAAATGTGATACCATCATACAATTGAAAGTCTAATGTTACATTTATAGGCTACAACCAAGTCCTAGCTTTCTATGTCCATGGCTCTCAAATGGAACCCCCTAGAAAGGTATCATGACACACTTAAGCCATGATTTAATATTTTTGGATAAGCTTTATAAATGAGTTAATATTTTTAGATAAAATTGTAAAGAAAAAATCAAAATATTAAAATATCAAAAATATCATATATAAAAAATATATCAACATATAAGTTAAGTTAATGGGATCTATCTAGTAAACAGCTCCCTATAGTGAAAAATGGAAGTCCAAATTTCCCAAATATTTTTGGCCAAATAACTACGGTTTGTATCAAATTGATAATTGCCAAATTTTGCTGAAACTAATTTCAGAATTACCAAAATCGAAAGCAAACCAAATATTGTCCCCGTGCACATGCCAGAAGAATCTTGATGCTGGTAGCATGCACTTATCTCCCTCAACCCTATACTTTTTTAACTCTTCAATCTTTCTTTCCTTCTCTTTTTAATCTATCTATCTATCTATCTATCTATCTATCTATCTATCTATCTATCTATCTGTCTGTCTGTCTGTCTGTCTGTCTGTCTTTCTTGCTTGCTGTCTCATCTATATACAAATCATAAAATCTTGGAATCTGTTATGGGGTTATTTTTTGTTACAATATTTACACCGCAACATTATAACTACCCACCTAATATCATGTATGTCCCCCTCGTGCTGGTGTCTGGCACCAAGACATTAGCAGCAGATCAGTTGAGTCCTGCAGGTTGCAAGGTGGTGCCTCCATGGATCGGATTTGTTGTTCCAGCACATCCAACAGATGCTCAATCGGATTTAAATCTGTGGAATTTAGAGGCCAATCCAATGCACCATAAACCTGGCCATCCACCTGATCTAAAAAAATTGATCTCACAAGACTTGCCATTTTGGAGATGCTCTTCTAGCCATCACTTTTTGGCCCCTGTCAAAGTCACTCAGATCTTTTCACGTGCCTATTTTTCTTGCTTCCAACACATGAAATTCAAGAATTGACTGTTCACTTGCTGCCTAATATAGTACATTGACAGCATTGTAATGATATAATCAATGTTATTTACTTCACCTGTCAGTGATTATAATATTGTGGCTGTAGTCCATGGAGCAGCACAGCTAAGGGGAATGTGTCTTGACATTGGTAGGAGACAGGCATAAGAGGGGTGTACTGGCTAGTATAACTGGAGGTGGGGTTTGTGTTAGAGGGGTATATATGGTGGCCCTTTTAGATCAGGGACCATTTTAATTAATCCTTACCTGTTTTGTCCCACCCTCCCTCCCTTATCTTGTTGTTAGCTCCTGTTTGGTCATGGTGGCAGGGGATGGATAGAGAAGTTGGGATGTAGGTTGTTTGCCCTAATGTAAAATAGCTTTGTTCACTAAAAACAGTTAGGTTTCGAAGGGTATTGGTAGGTTTGAGCTCGTTGGTAGCTCAAACCTAGTGTGTGTAGGGTGTATATCGGTATACCCCTGCATGGAAGAAAGATGGAATTCATGCCCTCAGTTACAATGTTTATGTTTAAATGTTAATTATGTTATAATGTGGTTATACTTAATGAGTTGTGGGTCATTGTCTGGCGTAGTATTGTTTAAGGAGTTGGTTGATATGTTATGTTAAGATGTGACAATGACCTTAAAATATTTTAAGTATTATTTATATATTATTAGTTTTCCCAAATAAATGTTTCAGAGTATTTTTTTTTTAGGGGGGTTGGGGGTTTTTGGGTTTGTTAAGCAGATGCCAAAAAAGGCGACTATGCATATGTCATGATCAGTAAATATTCCTCATAAAATTCTCAGTTAAGAAAAAGAGTTATCCCTTAGCATTCTGGAAAAGTTAACATGAAGCATTCTGAAAGAAACTTACCATATATACTCGAGCCGGGTTTTTCAGAACATTTTTTATGCTGAAAAAAAAACCCTCGGCTTATACTCGAGTGAGGGTCTGTATTATGGCAATTTACATTGCCATAATACAGACCAGGACCGCCGGGCCCATGACAAGCCTGACTGTACTGGGGAGGCCCGCAGAAGCTGTTACTTCCCATCCCAGCAGCTCCCTTCAGCTCCCCTGTCTAAATCTCGCCGAGTCTCGCGGCCGTCAAAGCGTTGCCACGGGTTACCATGTCAACGCTCCGCGCGGCACACAGACCGCGAGATTTACACAGGGGACCTGAAGGGAGCTGCTGGAAAGGTAAGTAACAGCTTCTGCGGGCCCCCCACTGCTCAGTACATGCCACTGGACCACCAGGGATTGACAAATCTCCTCTCCCTGGCCAAGTAACAAGCAGGGAGGAGGGACCAGAAAAGAAAATAAAAAAATTAAATATTAAAATAAAAATATTAAAATAATAAAAATGCCCTACTCCCACACAGTTTACACACACTACACAAACACACGTACACTCAGCATTATTCACACACACACACTGCATTCACACAAACACACACTCTGCATTATATACACATACACTGCATTCATTATATACACACATTCTGCATTCATTATATACACACACTACACACACACTCTGCATTCATTATATACACACATTACACACATTACACACACACACATTCTGCATTCATTAAATACACACACTACACAAACACACACTGCATTCATTGTATTATATTCATTATATAATGAATGCAGTGTGTGTGTGTGTTTGTGTAGAATGTGTATTTAATGAATGCAGAGTGTGTGTGTTTGTGTAGTGTGAGTATATAATTAATGCAGTGTGTGTGTGTGTATATAAATTATATACACACACTACACAAACACACACACACACTGCATTAATTATATAATTTATATAATTTATATACACACACTACACAAACACACACACACACACACACACACACACACTGCATTAATTATATACACACACTACACAAACACACTCTGCATTCATTAAATACACATTCTACACAAACACACACACACACTGCATTAATTATATACACACACTACACAAACACACTCTGCATTCATTAAATACACATTCTACACAAACACACACACACACTGCATTCATTATATACACACATTACACACACACACATTCTGCATTCATTAAATACACACACTACACAAACACACACTGCATTCATTATATACACACACTACACAAACACACACACACTGCATTCATTATACACACACTGTAAATAAATATTCCAAAACATTTAACCTACTGATGCCTCAATTAATGTAATTTTATTGGGATCTATTTTTATTTTGAAATTTACCAGTAGCTGCTGCATTTCCCACCCTAGGCTTATACTCAAGTCAATAAGTTTTCCCAGTTTTTTTTGGGTAAAATTAAGTGCCTCGGCTTATATTTGGGTCGGCTTATACACGAATATATACGGTATATCGACTCATTAAAAACCTATATTATTATTACAGTATTATTATTACATAATTATTATTTTGTGTTTTTTTAAGAAAGGTCTGTTGGGGATAAAATGATGGATATTTGCCAACTCATTCAGAGCTCTGGAAATTGGAAATGAATAGCAGAGACGTGTTCAATAACCAATTCAAATTTTATTCCTCCGTCAGTTATATTAATACCCCATTTTCATAGCAGGATGGGAGGGGGAAAAATGAGTATATGGGCGTGACAATGACATTGTTTTTCACAAGTTATGAGCAGCTGTTTCTTATTATAATTCTACGTTATATAACGTATGCATATTTGATCAAAACAAGATATTTACAAATACCAAAATCTTGGACAATTAACAAGAACATTTTCAAAATCAGTATGGCCATTGTTATAATAGTATCTGTGATTTCATTTTTTCAGAGTGGATTTACTTTATACCAATAAGGAAATTTTAAAATAAACGCAAATCAGAAGGACACCTTCCTTATTGAGATTGGTCAAATTAAGATTGTATTTATTTCAACTTGAATAATCTGGTTTTATGGTTACGTATGTCATTTGTTATTGCATGAACATATTTCAACTTAAATTTGTGTTGTTTTGGGGAAAAACAACCTTTGAAGAACAATTACGATTTTTGGGGACACTAGCTTCAACTATTTATAATATCTGATGTATGTGTAATATCACATTTTTTCATTTTATTATTAAAATTGTATTTTCCCACCTAATCCTCAGTAATACAATCTTGTATTGTCATCAATATAATAAATCAGTTTTAAATTGGAATCTTGGCAAATTTATCTCCTTATAAACCATGATAAATCAAGTACTAAAAATGTAAATTGATTTTTATTTTTCAATTAAATCACATATGGCATGTGACATTTTGTAGGATCTCAAATGGTATTTTGGTGCATTGTTTTATTCAATCAGTAAAAAGTAATTTTCATTCACATCAGAAAAAAAGTATTGATTAATTGCTAAAATGTGGATCCTTCAGAATTTGTTGGTTCTGCTATTCTTTTTACAATAACATCTGAAGTGAAATTCTGTTATGTTAATTCTTTTAAATGTATTTCCAATCTGGTTTGTAGATCTGTGTAGTTATGAAATGGAATGAAGTGATTTATGCTTCCTGTTCTATTTTTGAGAACAATTACTTAATCTCCAAAATGATATGTCATAATTTGTCAGTAGACTTAAGAATTATGTTTTCAGTTGCAGGATTTAAGTCTTCAGAGTCTAGAAGTTGCAAATTAAATAGCTTACTTTGCTTGCCCGTACATAATTGTACAGTATTAAAATCAGAGATGGTTTGAACCTCCCATTTTCTCCTAGAAATGTAATCTTACAAAAAAAAAAATAATAATTAAAGAGTTACTACAACCACCATGACCACATATGTTTGAAACACATCCAGAGATATTGGCTAATGACTAATTGACTAATGTAAATTTTGTGCATAAATTACGTATGCACTCTCCCCTAACAACAAACATTAAAATCTTTCCCATGCAGGCAGAGAGCCTCTGCTCCCACCCTCCCTCCCACTCTTTGCTCCAGTGACATCGGAAAAGCAGCAAGGATCCAAGATAAGTAAAATCTTTTTTTACAGGTTTTACTGAGAATTGAGAAGAGGGAATGTCTCCATAGTGCACAGAAGTGCATATTACGCTGGAAATGTCCCCCCTCTCAATATTGTTGTAGTAACCCTTTAACAAATTATTTAGTTTGTTTGTTTAGGAAAATGTCAACAATCCCTATTTAAAATTACTACATATTGCATCTAATCAATGCAGGAAGATAAATTAAATATCTATAATGACCATCGAGAAGATCTTATGACCATATTTATATTATAATAAGCTCATCTTCTAAAAATAGCAAAGTGAAATAAATTATGGTTAAAATGTGGGTATTTGTGGGGTTTGTGTAGCCTGATCTTTGGAGGACATGGATGCACAATGAATGAGTTGACTAAGACCAAGTGGGAATTTTCTAATAAAATAAAAACAGGAAGAATGGAGAAAACAGGAAAGAAGTACTTTATCCCTCACACCTCAAAGAATCACCAGGACACCCTAAAAATTGTTTAGCCCCTTAAGGACACAACTTCTGGAATAAAAGGGAATCGTGATGGAATATTTCTGTCATGTGTCCTTAAGGGGTTAGATAAATATCAGATGGAAAAGCCTGCAATGCTGGTTCCAACATACCTCATTAGTGGAAAGACTTGGGAATTTCAGATTACTAAATTTTATTCCATGAACTTGATTTGATTACGACTGTGCTTAAGATGTATGGACACAATATATGACCAAGACGTTAATGATACCCTCTCCACAAAGGTTCATATACCGTGCTTCACACCTAACCATACACTTTTATAAGCCTTCATTAAATATATTTATGTTTACCCACTATATTCCCAACTATGTCTTGTTTATTGATTGTATGTTAACTTTGACCTTGTTCATTATTTGAGTGGTATATTATTATAGTATATACAGTATTTCTATTGGTGGTTCTATTGCTTTTATTATTCATGTTTGTTACATTCACTTCATCTTAGAGATCAATATAAAACATATAAAATATATAAAATATTAATATAAAATAAGTAGTAAGCAGTAGTCCAAAACACTTATCATAAGTGCGTAATGGTAGGTGCCACGTATGGAAACATGGATTCTTGAGATGTAAAATGGAGTAAATCTTCACAATTATATGCTTGGGATCCAGTGGAGCATATGTAGAAAAAAACAGAAATAGGACTCCAATGGCACAGTATATAGATGAATAAAATAATATAATAAAATGAAAAAAGTCTTACTCACACTTTTCATAGCTAAAATCTAGCTCTGATATTGTGCACGTGAAGTGGAATAATCCCCACTCAAGGATATGCGGAGTGATATTTGATTGGCGAATATCTGGCTCAAATTCGGCGTCCGAATTAGTGTTATTCGACCGAGAAAAAAAGAATATAATATAGTGCTCTCTGTAAAGTAATTAAAAGTTGTAAAAGAGTATAAAATATACTACTCACATTATTTAGAGCAGACTTGTACTGCTCGGTGTAAGCACTTGGGTGGTATAATCCCCCAGGTGAAAAAAGAAAGAAAATGGCAATAAAGTATTTTATGCCAAAATAATTTCTTTATTATAAAGTAGTAAAAATAATATCTAAACGTGTTTCGCCTTAAGGGCTTCTTCAAGTAGATAATAGTAAAAAAGGCCTAGACAAGAAGTCTAAAGAATCCATAGGTGGGGATTATACCACCCAAGCGCTTACACCGAGCAGTACAAGCCTGCTCTAAATAATGTGAGTAGTATATTTGATACTCTTTTACAACTTTTAAACGGCCTAAACAAAATGGCCGAACATGCTGTAACTACCCCGCAGGCTGCTGGAGAAGAACTGCGCAGACTGCGTCAACTGAGAATGCCTTACCCCAGCCTCCTACTACCAAGTCCACAGACCATCACTGGGGGAATGCCCCAAAAAGCTGTCCCCTTGTAGCAGCTAGGTCGCACCACTACCCGCACCTGGACAAAGTGATCTGTTCAGCACAAGACTCACCCCATGACTGGCTCACACAACCACATCGACCTCCGGACACTGTGCCTTGCAGCGGGTTGTCGGGACTCAGTGGACTTGGAGAGACCTGTGGGGTGTATCCCCATGCCTAAGAAGAGGATGCCTACTAATAGCTTCCACAAAGTAAGCCAACGGAAGATATGAAAGGCACAATCCGCGGAACTCACTTCAGGCAGCCTCACCAAGGGACACTCTTGCGGAATTCGCCGCTACATGGAGGGACATATATGCTAATAATGTCACAGTAAAACCTGCAATACACATCGGTCTCTAACACCCTGACACTTGCAGTGGCTGACCCAATGTGCCGCGATCTGCCTGATGGTACTCTATTGTACTCTACTCTATTTTACTGCATTTTACTTTACTTTATCTGAATAATAGCCCCAGCTAAGATGCTTGCTTTATAAAAACATCTGTACACTTGCCTGCATATCATATAATTGCACTAATTACACACCCAGCTACAGACCCCAAGCAACTTATTAGCTGGTTAGGAGGATGTACTATTTAGCATGCTATTAACCTAAGTCAGACATGTTAATTAACTTCCTGTAATCATAATCCATGCTAATGTAACTCGTATTTACTAACATTCTGATCTAAGCAACATTACTTTAACATTTCAAAATGTGTCGCTAATCTCAATGCTCCAACTGTTATGCCTGAAAATTATGCTCGGGGAATGCTATTGGGGCACCACAAGCTTTTATGTTATTTACTTAAAGCATGATAAAAATAAAGAATTTTAAAAAAAAAGTGTTGGACAAGATTGGACTCTGGCAAATATTAG